AAATAGAGTTAAATATAAAAAAGTAATTACTATATTATAAAATATACTTATAGTAGAAGTTTCTAATTATATTATAAATAATATATTTAATTTAGTTATCTATATTTTCTTATTTAATCTCTTTAACTTTAATATCTAATTATATTTTAATATTATTCCTAGAAATCTTAATCTCTATATAAACTTAAAGTTCTATAAGAAGTAGTAATAGTAGTAATAGTTATAATAGAGGTAATAATAAATATTCCTTAAAAAGATTATTCTCTTTAGTAGTAAGATTAATTAGTAACTCTATAATAGTCTTAATAATAGTTTTAGTAATAGCTTTAATAATAGCCTTAATATTATTAACTTCTAGCTATTATATCTCTTTAATTTTATTAATACTATTATTTATTACCTTTAGTACTAATAAGTTATACTACTTATTTATAAAGTTTATTTATAGCTAAAGCTATTAAGTAATAACTTTAATTATAGGTTTATATATATTATTACTAATATAAAACCCTCTTTTTTTTATATTTACTTTATTTTAAGAGTTTTAATTATTACTATACCCCTTATTAATTAAGCTAGTTTTACCTCTTTTAAAACTAATAGAGGAGTTTATTATCCTTTTTATAGTTAACTAAAAGCTCCCTATTATAGCTATTTTATTAAAAGTAATACGTTTTAAATTAGATTAAAATTAATATAATATAAGTTCTCTCTTATAATCTTCTTCTTAGAGAACTAAAATAAATAAGAAGGATTTTTATATTATTAATTTTATTAATAGAAATCTTAGTTTTAAAGAGATATTTTTATTTTTATATAATATTATTAGCTTTAATAACTATATTAATTATATAGAGGTTAGATTATTATTATCTTACTCTAATATTATAATATTATACCTATATTACGCTCTAAATAGTATTAAAAAGTCTAAATCGTATTAAGAAGTATATTAATTAATATTAGTAGCGTTATTATTAATAGTAAAAAGTAGTATAGAGGGGTAATAAATCGCATACTAATAGGGGTTTCAGGTAAGGCAAACGCAAATGAGTGCGCTTTCCTCGCTTATCTTCCTCACCTCAAAGTCACCGCACTCATGACCTCTAAGTGAATACTCTCAGACATAAATATATGCATTTAGGGGAGAAGCGGAAAACATTTCATATTCCTCTCTGACGACAACGAAAGAATACTTTATCTCCTTCATGCCGTACCATCAGCACTCAACCACGGTTGATCTCTCGATACACAACATCCTATGGACGAGAATGGCAAACCGAAGTGCCAGCATTGCATCGGGTCGATGTCCGGGCCGGACTTGGTGCAGCACCTCCCTGTATCTATCCGAGTCCCGATGCAGTCACAATTGGTCAAGTCAGCCATGTCGACAACCCCTCCACTGACTTGCCGTCGTCAACAGCACATCCTTCGCTGAAGTAGGTGTTTTCTTTGAGCGATCTGACTCTCACTGTATTAGATCGCTGTCGATATCGTCGGATAGTGCACCTAAGCCCAAGGTAGAGGCCAGACATGAATCGCGACACACCTGACAGGGGATGTATGCGCGGGAGGAGGCCGATAAAAGGAGGAGACGGGCCAATAAGTCAGATGCAGACAAGCAGCTTTTCGACTTTGCGCACCATGGGATTTCAATCTTTGCCCATCCATCTTCGTTCCCCCGCAGCAGATTTTCTGCCCTTACATGTACCCAAGCCCATCACCACGTCTCGTCGACCGGAATTTCATCGTAGATTGGCTCAGATCCGAGATGTCAAGTCACGGCCAAATCACCAAGTCCACCCAGAGCACAAGGATTCGCGCTGGTCAACAACATATGCATACCGAATTGCATGCCGCAAACAGTTGTCATCGGATGCTGCACCCAGCATGACTGGTACTTGTGACTGCCACATTCAGTTTTCTTTGTTCCGTCCAAATTCCAGTCCTTCTTTCAACTCTACAATCGCCTGTTCCTGCATGTCGTCCTCAGCCGTCGGGACTTGGTCAACGTACCATACGTCGGTATCACGTCTTCGACACCTCAACCGAGACAATGACGGGGTGAAGTCGCCTCAACCCAGATCGATGCCGCACGCCAGAAGCGACGTTTAAGCGAGGTCGCTTCTTGTTTGTCGGGTTCATCAGACTAGCTGGAATTAGCCAAACCTTGGCTTCTGATCCCGGGACCATCCTGAACTTCTGCCCTCCTCTCCCACCCCTTCTCCACAGGTTCCGTGTACGTGGTTCTCCATGGCAGAGATAGACCCCTCTTTCTTCAGCATGGATAGTCTACATGTAATATGCCGCTTTGTTTCGTCATCCGCGGCCGAGGCGCATCTGGTCGACAACCCCGTTCCCTTGCGCACGCCATTACTCTTCTCCAATTCGATATCATTCTGCACCTAAACTAGCTTCTCAGCACACTCTCTCATCAGTGTCAGTTTCTGTCTGTACAATTCGGCAACTCCAACCACTGATGGCGGGCTGAGCATCCTTTTCGGACGTTTTCCATCCATGTAATATCCAAATGAATCCTAGACCCCCTTCCTATGATGGAACACCCTCCCCGTCAACGTTCCGTTCGGGTGTCCCCGTCCTTAGCCACTCACACCCAAAGATCCCATGTTTAAACCCCGCTGCGATACTCCCGCGAGGTCATCCTGGCACGGATACCGTCTAATACCAGGTGCTGGGGATACACACGTAGCCGACGGGCCCTCTCACCGAACCCCTTTTCCTTTCGCTTCTGGTTTCCGACGCTACAAGGATCGGTTGGAGTGAGCTCCTCGATTCAAGCTCTTGCCTTAGTGGAGGGATCAGCATGCCCCTAGCCGACCACTTGCCCTGCCTCGACCCGACCTATCTCTGATCCTTGATACATATAGGCTTCGCTTTGGGGTTTGTACAAAAATGTGGCTTTCGGAAACTTCGCAAGTCTGTGATCCTCCTCATTGTATCACGACCTGAATCTCGCACCACCTCACACACCCTCCCCCTCCCCATTCCCTCCAACATGGTGGTGCCCAGAAGACCTGGTGTTGTCCAACAAAGAACGCCGAGTTACTCGGTCAGGGAGGGCGCGGAGAGTGCCCTGGCCGCCCTCGTCTCCGCGTGTCAACAACAGCTTCCTCCTGAATTTGTCGAGCACTTGCGAAACGTTACCTTTAGTACGCCACTTGGGGACACAGCGTTTTTCCCATGTCCCCTGAAAGAACAGGAGGCCACGGCCTCCATCAAAGCCCTCGAGGGCATGGCCGCGGCCGCCATCGCCGACTTGAGGTATGGGCAGGCTTCAAGAGATATAGATGTTGACGTTGCGCGCACTGCTTGTTTCCTGATATCGGCTTATTTGACTACCGTTGATGGCATGGACAAAGCCCATCCAAATGTCAAGTCCAAAATCCCAGGTATGTCATCATACCTAATAACGGAAGCTCATCCGCTAACGTTTGGCAGACACCGACTTGAACCAGGCGCAGTCAATTCTCTACCGGCGCCTATCAGCGAACCTTTATGAAACAAAAACTCCGGGAGAGTACTACCACCTTCATGGATCCCTTGAGGCTAGTAAGGCCCTCAACATGATAGGCCTCCCGGCCTTCAACTCTGACCTCCAAAGCTATGGCGAGTGCATCAAAACCATCGAGACCGCCATGAAGCGTTTCACCGTCAAGGAGCTCGAAGAGATGAACCGTAGAGAAGGCCAAGCCGGCGTTCCCGTCCTCAAAAAGGAGCAATTCCTCGATACGCCACACGGTAAAGCTCTACAGTCTCTTGCCCCTTTCACAACTAAGGCGGCCGAAACCACCACCCCACCAATTCCCTTTGACCCTCAAAACAGCCACGCCGGCCCCGAGCAGTGTCTCCGCGGAGTTCGCGTCCTCGAGCTCTGCCGCGTGATAGCCGGCCCCACCATCGGCCGCTCTCTCGCAGCCCACGGCGCCTCCGTTCTCAAAGTGACATCTCCGCAACTTCCCGACGTCCCCTTTTTCCAGGTGGACGTCAACACCGGCAAGCACACCACCTCACTGCATCTTAAGGATCCCAAAGACCGTGAGACGTTCGATGCCTTGCTAGCGAGCGCAGATGTTATTCTTGATGGCTACCGCCCGGGTGTCATTGACCGTCTAGGCTACGGTCCAGATCAACTCGCTGCCATCGCTACGAAACGCGGTAAGGGGTTCGTCTACGTGGCGGAAGACTGCTTTGGGGGAACGGATCTCGGAGAGGGCAGAGCGGAATGGGCCGGCCGTCCTGGTTGGCAACAGATTGCGGACTGCGTCACAGGCGTGGCATGGGAGCAGGGCCACTTCATGGGTCTCGACGCGCCCGTCGTCCCGCCGTTCCCAATGTCTGACTACGGGACGGGTGCGCTGGGTGCCGTTGCTGCCATGGCCGGGCTGTATCGTAGGGCAACGGAGGGCGGGTCGTGGGTTTGCAGGACGAGTCTGTGTCAGTATGATGTCTTCCTGCTTTCGCTTGGGGCGTATTCGTCGGAGGTGCAGGCCAGGCTGCGCAAGTCGCATGATCCTACGTTTTTTGACCTGAAGCATCACGACTCGGTGGATGAGGTTAGTAAAAGAGCTCTGAGGAGTGTGAAGAAGCTCCACCCGGGGCTATTTGCGGAGGATATGATGCACTCTGCGTGGAGCGAGGGGTTTGATGCCGAGGTGAGGTGGCCTAGGGAGGCCGTTAGTATTGAGGGGGTTAAGGTAGGGCATCTCCGGGCTTCGAGACCTAATGGAGCTGACAGGCCAACTTGGGAAGATTGGGAAGTCCAACCTGACATTGTCCGGGTGTGATCAGTTGGGCTTCCGAAGAACCTAGGAACAAGATTTCGAGAGTGAATAGGAATGTTCAACGGAGGTCCCCGCGTATATTCATTCTTGGTTTCTAGTCATTTCATGAACGGACACTACTTTTGATAAGGTACGATGTGACGATACCAATGCCGTCAGATAGGTGCTTTCTACCGCTTTCGGCATTCATACATTCGGCTAAGATAACATATCGGAATCCATCCAACCAAGATCGGGGTGAATATCCCCAGCCTCCAGAGAGGCATAACCCCATATATCGCTGTGCTTCATTGCTAGATCTCCAATTTGCATGCTCTGATCTGGACTGGTCAACATGACTTTCAATGGCCCGGACTCTCCCAAATCCTCCCGTTTTGCCAAGTGTTCGAGAACGGAGGCTACCTGGTAAACATCTTGTTGCCAAGGATCATGTTCATACCAGGAGATGCCATCAATGATGCAGAATATGGTCTTTTGAGACGGAGTCTGCTTAATGATCTCGACAAAAACTTTGCAGAGGACATAGCATTCTCCGCGACGGCAGGCCTCCAACATTTCCTCGGACAAGAAGCCTAGGTCGGGTGGAGGCAACTTCGGGCTCTTCAGAAGCTGGGCTATGAGGCTCCTCATCATTGCTGCTGGTCCTGTGTTAATATCCTCCGATGCATGTGTGTCAGTATGAAGTCCCGCGAAGAAAAACACCACCGCTGAGTCTTCGTCTTCGAGAAGAGCCGTGATCAACCCACCGCAGATGGCCGAGAGCGGAGACACAAACTCCACAAACTCGGGTTCCAAGCATCCATCCACGAGCAGTAGAGATGAACCATCTCGGCGAAACCATTGGCGGAAATCATCGGTCTCAAACAGCCATTGCGCTTTCCCTCTCCCCGCTGGATCAAGACTTTCAGCCTCCTCCATGACTAAATTCATATCGCCTACTGAGCTGTCCGCAGGTACCTTAAGAGCAGCAAGTAGATGGACCGACCCGAAGGAATGGGCGTGTTCTTGTCGAAGACTGTTGTTGGATAGGCGGCTGCGTAGGGTCGCATTATCAACACTGAGATGAACGTTTTCTGTTTTTGCGCGGTTAATATCTTGAGGGGAAACGTGTTGCGCATAGCTGTGCTTACTTTTTTGCACGGCTCGGTAGAACTCCCTATCTTTAGAGAAATGCGCTCGCTCGTTTTGTATGGACTGCCGCTCTTGTTGTAGCTGACTTTCTTTTTGCTGCAGCTGACTTTCTTTCTGCTGCAGCTGACTCTCCTTTTGCTCCAGCTCACTCTCTTTTCTTCTGAAGGCCTCCATCTGCTCCTCCTTTACTCTTCTCAGGTTCTCCAATTCCTCCTTTTTCTCTCTTCTCATATCCTCCAGGTGATCCTTTGCTACTGAAGCTACACCCGCAGCGATATTGTTGGTATAACGGACCTCGACCAATAAGGCATTCTGGTCGTTTTTGATGCTCTGAAGGATGTCATTTTGCATCGCTTGGCTTTTTGCAAACAGAGTCCGGATTCCTAGCTCTGCAGTCTCCCATTTGTCGCTCAGATCTTTCAGATCTACGGCAAATTGAGAGAGTATCTCTAGTTTCATCCGCTTTACGTGCTTCTCCAGACGTACAACTTCCTGCTTCCACCGCGCCAGGATTTGGTCAACCGTAGAGGTCTCAGGAATTCTGAGTAGAAGATGTGCGACCACTTTTTGGTACCCTATGATGAAAGTTATCATTAGTCAGAGTTCAGCGATTGATGTCTAAGTCAAAATTCGCCCTGGGATTCTCACATGGCTCATTGCCTAAGAGGATCTTGACAAGAACTGGAAGATCTTCGAGAAGCATGCTGATGACTTCGGTACAGAGACTTTTGTCCACAGAAGCCGGCTTGAGTAGGTCGAAGGCCATGTTGATTGTCAAAATGCTTTCCGGGACTGTTTCGAAGGTTTCAAGTATTCGACTTCTGTTGTCTTCGTGTGCCTTTGTTGCCTAGGGATCGTGTGTCAGCAACTATTTCCGTCCCCGTGAAACTAAACATTATTCGGGAAGATGAGGCTTTACATCAAAAATGAGAGCAAGCCCGCCCTTCAGTATTCCAATGCCGTACTCATCCGGCAAAGCATTGACATATCCGGACACTAAGTCGGCGCTGTCAGCTACCTTAGAGCTGATCCCTCTTTTCTTGTCGTGCTGTTGCTTGGCCACAGCCATTTGCTCAAAAACATTGTCCCAGGAAAGATTACCGACCCCATCACCGGCTGGCAAATCTTCATCGTAAGCAGCGATAATCGTCTCCAAGTCCCTGTATGTCTGAGTGTGCTGTCATAAAGATTTTGGGCAAATGGACACACTTTGTTCCCAAGTTACTTTGAGAATGATATCTCTCTGTGTCCGTATCATACTGTAATGGTCTCGGGGGCGCTTTGCGAACACCGCTGAACCGGTCCTGAAAGAATTTCTTGAATGAGTTCGGACTTGTTGACCTACTCCTGGTCTTTGACTGTCGTAACGACCGATGACAAATCGGGATCTCGGGGAATTTTTTGACTACATCCATGGTCAAGGCCAAGTTGGGTAGTCTAAGTGGCCATGTGAGAAATGCAAACGTTGACCGAAAGCTAAAAGAGCCCGGGTACTGCTGCTACGGCTGGAGTGCTGAACTTAAGGAGACGTTGCCAAGATGGTTCTTTTCGGGTCTGAATCGCGGCTTAGCTGATAGCTCAAATTACGCGGCTCCTCAACAAGATGATCTGCCTGATTCCGCGTTGACCTCGGGCAGCCTCGTTCCTCAACGACGATTGAACCAATAAACCATGTACTCTGCGGGGTTGTCGCCCGACCTGATAAGGCTCCTGCTTCTAAGAATATCCAGAACCCGATTTCAGGCCGCGAAGTCCGAGGAACACGTCACATATTTCTCTTCGTTCGCAACATCTGCTCCAACGGATAAGCGCCAAGGCCCAGCCTGCCGCAAAATTGGATGATGACCGTTTTGGCTGCAGCTGGGAGGGTGAGAAACCTGCAATGTAACCATGACAAGGCTGTGAAAGACTCTCGATTAAGAGCGAATTGCTGTCAGTTCTACGGCACGTGGGTCTCTCATCGAGAAAGACCGGCCTATCTATGACCTTTGACTCTCTGACATTCATCTCTTCTATCAGTTCGATTTATCCCACCACATCACGCCCATCAACGCACTCAAGCTCCAAGTTCATCGTCCTAGCCGTCAACGGGGATAATCTCACACGATGGGAGAAGATCCTATTGCTTCTGAGGCAACCCCTCCAGCTTCTGGTCCGGATCCTGTGGCTGATGGCACGAAGAACGATATCTCAGATGGCGCAACGAAAGATTCTACGGAAAACCCCGTGCCTCCCAACGCGGAGGTACCCAAAGACAGTGCTGATGCCAGCCAAGGAGGACCGCCAATCCCTGTATACCTTCCTCCAGGAAGCAATGAGCTACCGGTTGAAGAAAGGGTGGCAAAGCCTGGCGTTCGATACTACAATTATCAAGGTTTCGTGAACCGGCTGGATTCAGATGGAGAAGATTTTGGCATTGAAGTCCTCGTCACAGGAACTGACTGGCATGAGGAGGTCTCAATCGAAACCCACAAGAGATGGGAACCCTCGCCCCCCCCTCCTCCTCCGGTTCCGGCACAGCCTCCGACAACACAGCAGCCTGAACAGCCAACAGTCGATGTTACGGACGCGACACCCAAACAACCATCACCACCACTGCATGTGGAGAATCCGAGCACTGGCTATGTTCCGTATTATATTCGAAACAGAGTATCTGAGTACCTTGCGGCCGATCCACTAGAGAAAAAGTACTCCTTCAGCGATAAGATTGAGTTTTCATCAGGCTCTGAGAGTATTCTCGAAGGACGTATCATGCGTGTCAGAATCCGAAGCCCGAAAATCATGGCCGCTCTTGGAGCCGCCTCAGGTTGCAGGCAGTTGTCAAATGACAAGTCGGTGTTTGAATTCCATCGCCCGTTTCGAATCATCGAGGAATGTCACAGCGAGATGAAAGAGAAGCTGGCCGAGATGGAGAACATACACTTTGCATCTGCCTCGTCAAGCGACATAGCCCTAGCTGAGGATATTACCTTGGCTAGTCATGAACCAGCTTCTCCAGCAGAATCACCCAAGGCCACAACCGAGCTGACTCCGGACGAAGTGGCGCCGGAAGGGAAAGAGGAAAACTTGCAGTTCACGATGGAGGATGTGGAACACATGAGGCAATATGTCGGCTTTGTGGAAAAGGCCATTCTTCCAATTCGTGAGACATTCCAATATGTGGAACAAAAGACGCCTCCACGGGTGTGTTTCGAAGACATACCATATCTGTTCAAACCAGGAGCGCTGGTTATCGTGACAGAGAAAGCCAGATCTGGCAGAACACTTCACCGGTCTGCCGTTCAACGGATATGGAGACTCGTTTCGTGCCAACCTTCCGATGTTCGAACAGGGACGCATTATGAAGAAGATGATGAAGGCAACGAATACACGACCACGACATGGAGCATGTACAGTCTCGACTATGATGGAGAGATACTAGTGCCTGTATGGAAGTCCTTTCGGTTCCTACGATTCGACGGGGAACGGGACATCACTTCTTTGGGGTGCTACCCACTGGAGTTTGACTCTAAGGGTGCCAAAATCCTTGAAGAGCAAAAGGTCTCAGGCGAAAGATTCAAATCATGCCTGACTGGAAAGTGGAAGCATTTTTTCTACTTGGGATGGACTTTTATTACCGGCCTTCGTGGTGAATTCCTAGAAGATGAGAAAGGCAACTTCATCCAGCATCCGGAGTACATCGAGAGCGAGATTGTTGTTGACTTCAAGGAAACACTCCAGAGCTATCCTGGATGGGAAACAGAACAACTAACCCAGTCGCTCGCGCGTAATAATTGGGATTGGGATGGATCCGCACAACATCAACTGCGAATTTGGGAAGAAGACCGCAAAGGCTCTCACGGCCGACGGCGATACCGAGTTGTGTACTCCCCGATCCTAATCGAAGAGAGTGAACTCTATAGGCGGGAGGCAGATAAATGGCAAGCGCAGGACGTTTTTCTCTCCGGAAAAGCGGATTTCAAGAGCAAGGATTGGTCTGCCGAGGATTTTGCTCTTCTTCCCAAAAGGGTCTTTGCTTATGTCTTACGAGAGAGGAGGTTCGCCCGCCTCGACGTTGCCGGCATTGACCTACATACGGAGCAGAGCAATGTGACTCTGGACGACATCCAGATGGATCAAAAACGTAGGCGGATGATTCGGTCTTCAGTATCGGCTCATTTCAGAGACAAAAACAAGCCCTCGACTTCTGAACTCGACATGTTCCGGGGCAAGGGCAAGGGCCTTGTCATACTTCTTCATGGTGCTCCTGGAGTCGGTAAAACCGCTACAGCGGAGGCCGTTGCAGCTGAGAACAACAGACCGCTCTTTCCCATCACCTGTGGTGATTTAGGGTTCTCTCCAGGCGAGGTTGACAAGGCGCTTCGGGACATCTTTCGCTACGCTCACTTGTGGACTTGCATATTGCTTTTTGATGAGGCCGATGTATTCCTCACCCAAAGGGATCGCAGTGGTGGAAATCTTGAGCGCAATGCTCTAGTAGGAGGTAGGTTCCTTTCGTCCCTACAGTTGTTCCTCAGCTAAACAAGATCATATCAGTCTTCCTTAGAGTCTTGGAGTACTACAGCGGCATTCTGTTCATGACTACCAACCGAGTTGGGGCTCTGGATGAAGCTTTTCAATCTCGCGTGCATCTCAGTCTTTCTTACCCCAACCTGAGCTTAGTCGACACAATCGAGATTCTGAGGTTCAATCTCGATCGGCTTCCGAGAATCAATAAAGCCGAGGGCAAGACGGCGCAGGGCGGATACCTGAAGATTTTCGACATACCAATCATAGAGTACGTCAGCAAGGAGTACGAAGACTATAATGCAAGAACCCAAAAAAATAGAGGACCCTGGAACGGGAGGCAGATCCGTAACGCAGTCCAGATCGCGGCAGGTCTTGCTCTTTACGAAAAGCAGACTGGATCCGGAGACAACGACGATGAGGACGATCCACCGTATTTGACCGCGGAACATTTCCGAGCCGTCGCGGATATGACCTACGAGTTTGAGGACTATCTGAGTCTTGCCGGGAAAGGTGACGCCCAGGTTCAAGCCAGACGCCGCCGAGATCGTGCAGACCAGTTCCATGGAAGTCAAAGTCATGACAATCCGGTTTTCGAAAGTTTCTCTGACGTTGAAAGGAGAAGATCAACGCCTGGAGGTGGACATGGAAGTTATCGGAGAGACAATACTCCCTCAAGGAGTGGCGGCTACACATCAGGTGCAAGAACTGCCGCTGGCAGAGATCGCGGCTCAACGCCTAGATCATCTGGGGTGTCTGGTCAAGATTTTAGCACAAGAACGAGGCCATCTCCTAGAAACCTTGATCGAGCGCCGGAACGCTCTCGTGCGAGTCAAGTTCCCCGCCGTTCTATAGAACATGATGAGGACGACTATTTCAATGAGCCTGGGCATATGCTGGACCACTATTCTGGCGACGAAGGAGAAGACCACGGGGGTAAATACGGTTACGAGGAGCGCCCTCTAGTTCGTTGATCGTTTCCTAAGAAGTGATCGGTGAACAGTGTTTGCGGCAGGTCTGGCGTGGCTGCTGAGCGGGGTTTTAGGGGAGTGTTGGGAAGGATATATGAGTGCATTTTCTTTATCTTTAATAAGGACCATTCTTTAGGAGCACTTTGAAAACAGATGAGGAGGACGCTCTTTTGTTTTGGGAACAGCTTCAACACATTCATAGCTCGCCGAGTAGGTATTCAACATATACTCAGAATTCTTTCTTATCTCACCCCAGCATAAAGGCAACTCGAGTGATACCTGCATATTATCTAGAGATGCTGCTCAAACATGTTCATGCCGCGATCTGAATGTATTTCAGAGTGAGGGAATGGGTCAATATATGGCCACAGGTCAATAGAGTTAGGTACCTATGCAGTCAAAGCGACGGACGTGTCTATTATTTTAAGGATGATGCCCCGTATGATATCAAGAAACTCTCGCATCTTAGGACATGCATCGTTTTCGTCTCAAAACGTCATCAGTAAACAAATATGCGGATAAGTCATGCTCCTTGATTAGAGAGGAGGAATAACGCCTTTCCTCGCCGAGGACGACGCAAATAAGTCATGTCACCATCAGCAAAATCTCGTCTCGCCAGCACTGGTCTTTCCAATCTACAGTTCTAGTCCTTCAAACATTCTTTTTAACTATGCATATTTACTAACTCATAAAATTGCTAGTCAATGCTGCTTCTTCGCCGCGGCTACAACAGAGACAGCCTGATGTGGCCTTCCCATCTCGCAGACACATGCGGCATAGCTCTAGACTCAGGAGTGCTGGAAATCAAGTTATTAGCTGTGAGGCTACAGATGAGAGGGACTTATGTATAAAACAGAAGCGACTAATTGATCTGCCGATAAAAGCTCGAGTCAATGAATGCAGAAGGTGCTCGCCTAAACAAGGGAAAAAATATGCAAAATCAACAAAAACCAGAACGAAAAAAAGTCAGAACCGAGCTCCGAACCTGTGATCCCTGGTGGCCACTCACACCTCAGGTCGATTGACCCGTTGAGCCAGTTGGACCCAGGGCAAGTCCGATAGCGCGGTTGAGCAGGATGGTCACCGGCCTCCTGATATAGCCGCGGGTGAGGTTGGTCGTCGCATGAGGCAGGAGCGCCCTCGTGCTTTAGGCAGGTGCCATCAACCACCCCATAGGATGAGAAATTACAGACCTTCTTACCTGCACATAGGGAATCCCACAGGCAATCAGTATTACACCTTGCTATTTTTAGGGGGATTAAAAAGGGAGCCGCGACAATTTGCCTTAATAAACTAGAACATCATAATATTCGAGGGATGAGATGAAGCTCGTAAACTCAGCTGCTAAGACATATTACGAGACCCTTCGTTATCTGCTGATTGCGTTGCCCCCTGCGTATGAGTTCGGCAATACTAGAGGAAGATGAGCATGTAGTCATACCCAGTTCGTAGTTTCCTTGTCCAGCCCGCTTGCCACACGCAGGTAGGACACTCTGCTTTTGTCCCATGAATTCTCATAAACCACTACCAGTGGCGTGTACACCATTAGAAAGGACAATTTACACGGTCAAAACTCACCGATATGTAAAACTGTGCTCATCCTCACACAACGTCAAGAGCCCTCATATGTGATATAACGAGATTGCTCGTTGTTTCTACCGATGGGCCCGGAGAAACAAAACAAATGTTTTTAACAGAACGACTATTGTTTGAGCAAAACAGATGTCTTGTGATGAGACCCAGAAGTCTTACATCCCATTCGCTTTCCAAACCGTCTCGAATCGGGAGACACACCGTTCAGTGGTATTTTATAAATAGTCAGGAGATGAGAAACAAGAGAAACAAGCCAAAATGACGGGTGGCTGCTGTATCTAGCTGTCGCTTGTTCAGCTCTGCGTCAACGTTGTGTCCATCATCCTGATTTGAAGTGTGCATGTAAAGAATTCTCAACATGCCTACATTCATCTTTGCCTCTCAGAACCCCTTTGAGACTCTTTGATGAATGCCAAAACTTCCAACTTACATTCCACGATCACCCGCCTGGTTCACTGAAACATCGTGAAGTTCAGCCCACCGAGACCGCAGAGTTGCTTCCCAACACACCAACAGCAAAGTCATTTAAGTACCGAACAGGGGTTCTTCCTCGTATGCTCTCAGGACTCAGGCCAAGACAAGCCAATGAGACGACGGCTGTGACATGGGTCTCACCGGCAGACGGCAGCTTGATATAGACCAGTGTGTAACCTGCAGCTGCAAAGTTGTATTGGCAGTGGAAAGAAACGGCTGAGGCCTCCCACGAGGCTATGAGACATTATTCGAATCCTCATACTTGAACATCGATAGAGGTCTAGCACAACGGAATGTGGTGGGGATAGTTTGAGGTAACAGCATACAATCACTCGATTGGACTCTCACTTCGCAATGGGACACCGTCTCCTCGCGGGCATGTCCTTGTTACATCCCAAAACCCTTTCCAGAGACTCTAATTTGAACTGGTTGAGTGTAAAGTCTTCGACTTGAGGCCTTCCTTTATTACCCCTCAAGAAACCACCACCCCTTGGAGCCCACGACGGTCGCAGGGTGGGAGCAGACCTTCACCCCAACCTCCCCAATCACTGCAATGTTGAGCAGAAGAAGCCCCAGGCTCCGTATATAACGGTAATGCCCTTCACCAAAACTGACTATATCTTGCAAGGAAAACAATAAGGCATTGTGTCTACCTTGTCGTCTTATCTGTGTCTGGGTACCTAGACTTTGCAGACAATACCACTGCGCATGCCTACCCCACGTTCCCGTGGTAGCCGTTTCTTCAGTATAGACGCGAATAGAAAGAAGAACCCCAAGGAGAGCAGCGAAGGGCGATGGCAGCGAGCGTGGTGGTCGCAAGCCAGTAACCTCGAGCCATCGCAAACGTGAGACGTATAACAAGCATGTACCGTGGGAAATCCGGGGAGCAGAAGAAAGCCATTGCTCTGATGTTACTCACAGTTAGCTGGGACTTTGGTTATATATGCCGCCACAGGCACGTCGTGATTGTCAGTATAGATCCTCTACGTCCAAGTTGCAGTGGAATATCATCACATAAGACACGTATATAGTCAGTCACCGTATCACGTTTTGTTGTAGACCGAAAAGTTTGAACAGTGCATTTCTTCATGTATTAAGGAGCCGACCGCCCGACCGCCCGCCAGCTTGTCTTCACGACAAGTCATCATCTGCCATACCAACAACGCGCAATGCAAAACCTTCATGCCGGGAATTTTTTCGTGCCCCATGATGACCAGCAAAAAAAGGAAAGAGAAAAGGACTAAAGCCACTGGAGATAAGTAATCCGCCAACGCCAGGTTCGGAGAAATCAAGTGCCAAAATGGAAGTCTTGAAGAAGAGAAGAAAGAAGAGGAAACCTGCACGCCAATGCCACTCGCTTTTTTTTCATCCGCCTATCCCTATGAGCCCAAGACCGAGACCCCCCTTTAGGGAGCCGCGCCGAGAAACCAGACAGATGAGAAGCGACAAGATCTACTGTGGCCTTCTACCACCTAGGGCGGTGCAATCTGTGAGAAGGAGAAGAAAAATGCGGGATGAACGAAAGAACCCGCTGAACCGGAACGCCTTGTACGCTATGCTCTAACATGCTCGGAAAAAGATGACGAATAACACAGTGGGTGGACAAGTCCATGCTCGTGGCAATGCCAGATGCGATGCTGCAAAACGAGAAATCGAGAATGCAGCCCAGTATAGAATTGAACCTCAAGAGGGGGGTGGGGTATCATGAAGGGTATCATGGAAAGGTGACTTTTTAACCAAGAGTGCGGCCACTGTGGATGGCCTGGGGGTGATGAGTGGTGGTGGTGGTGGTACGGGGTGTTGTAGGGCTAGGCCGTACAGTCGAGGCTGGACTGAAGTCGGGGACAGTGTATGTTGGAGGGCGAGAGGGATCCCAGCCCTCCTCACTGAGCACGCTCAGGTAGCCGTTTCCAACCTTGTCCCGTAGTGCCTCGATCTTTCGGCGATACATCTCGCCACTGACGTCCCAGTCCTGGGAGTCGGCCGGAGTCTCGCGAGTCGTATAGATGGGAGGAAGCTCGGGGACTACGCTAGTGTCGATGCGTGGCACTTCCGGTTGTGAGGTGGCTTTTCGGCCATCGGAGAGCACCGCAGACGGCAAAGGTGGAACCTCGGGGGGTTGGGAGATGCGGTAGTTGCTGTCGGATCCGGCTGCAGTGGCAGTGGCGTCCGCGGCCAAGACCTTGACATCGGTCGGCGGCAGCTGTGCAACACCAGGCGGCAAGATGGGAGTGCCATCAGATGTTGACAGATCCACTATGCGCCTTTTAGGGGTCTTGCGGCGCCGGGTGGAGCTGGTGTTAACCTCGCTAGTGACGGCCTTTGGGACCGGTCGCTCCTTGCGGAGAACGGATGCCTCCTTGGGAATGTCGTAAATGATGGCGGGCTTGCTGACATCAACAGCGGGGATGTCGGCGGGGGCGGGCTTGACGACCGGGACCGCGGCGGGCACCGGAGTACGCTCAACCAGATATCTTCTCTCTGAGTAGGAAGGACCGGAGTTGTCAATGATGATGTCCTCGGTGTAGCCGGGAGTCTTCCTGAACAGGTTGAAGATGGTGATGCGGTAGTCCTTGTGGGTGCGAGTGAAAGGGTTGCCCTCGACCCAGATCTCCCGAATGTCGGGGATGCCGGTGAGTCTGGCAAGCTCCGAGGGGTCAGAGAGGCGATTATCTCTCAGGTCCAACCGCTCAAGAGGGTACAGCTTCTCGATGCCGGCAATGGACTGAAGTCGGTTGGCCCGGAGGTTGAGGGCTGAGATGGCGGGGAGGGGATTGCGCGTCAGGGAGTGGAGCCCATCAATCATGCAGTGTGAGA